GCCTCCTTTTATCACTCTTTTACTATTGACTTGGCTACATGAGACTTTGGGATTCAAACAGTAATTGAATGTTAGTTTAATCTGGCTACATTTGTAATTTCCTTGACAATGTTTACATGGGGCAAAAACTTGGAACATTCGTGACTTTGATCTATAACTAGTTTGATGAACTAGGATTGCTTAAGAAATGTATTACTCGAGGTTTCACTTGTTTAATATCTTTTACTACCATTATCAACATGAAATTTTACATTATTTTTGCTCCTCAAGTTGCAACAAAAGTACACCAAGGTCTTGCTAAAAGAAAGAGCTTGTATTTATACTGAACCTTTCACATCCTTAGCCTGTCCCAAAGAATCCCATACCTAACTGATTTTGATAATGTGGTCACCAGTTACATAAACAAGGCAGTGTCTCATAAGCATTGAGATAAACGACCAGTTAATCTGTCTTATGGTGTTGATTGAGATATAATGTTGGCATGGATACTGGATGCAAGGGCTCTTCTGGCACAGTGAATGCATCCTTGCCTCTAGGCCAGAAGAACCAGGGTCAGGTCCCACATACCATGTCTGCATAAACTGATTCAAAATACTTGATGAATGCACTTCCTGCTTCCCTTCAAAGTTTGCCATGGGCATTTTTACAACTATCTAAGCAAGAAAACAGGGTCTCGGCTTCACGTTGATTAATCGGGTTACATTACAGACTAATACAAGGATGTAGCTGCAACTAATGGGGAATGTAAAATGCAGAATAGTCTTTTTATCAATTCAGACAGTGTTTTTAAAAATCTCAAAGTAATACTGATCACAATGTTAAACAAGAATAGATAAAGAATATTAGCTCATACTTGTGCAATTTATTAGCATTAAATGGTTTGCGGAATAGGAAAAACACTAAAAACCCCACCACATTTTTGCATTGTTTCCAAAGAAAATCTGATTGGAATTGTGAACTTTTATATAAAGCTTTTGTTTTCTTTAAATTGCTACAGCAACCAGCTAAGAAATTAAAAATACTAACGGTGGACAAAGAGCCAGTTAATCAACAGCTATCATCAGGTATTTGCAGGCACTAATGTGTGTTAGCAGGATGATTAAAAATATCTACAATTGTAGGCATAACTAGCAAACCCACCAAAAATTAGTTTACTGTTATAATAAAGTGGGTTCTTAATGAACTAACAAAATTAAAATAACTCAATTTCATAAAACGGTAAAAGCCTGGATCATTGTTCATTGTTATTCTGATTGAATTCATAAAAGACTAATGTTCCTTAGAGACAATTATAAATGTGTGTAATTTTGCTTGAATCATGATATAACTTCAAGTATTCCATAGGCCCAGCTTCATACATGCCACCAGATGATGCTCAAGAATTGCCCCAATGTAACTAGCAACCCAATTGTTGAGGATCACTTTCATAAATTAAGATCGCATCATTAGCTGCAAATGTTACAAATGTTGCTGGACACTAAATAGTCTGAATAAATCAGCGAATCCTTAACTTCTCACATTCCCTCATTCTCACATATAAATTGATGACACCCATCTCTACCTCTCGATTTATTCGCTGTTGGTAAATTATCAGACTGCTCATCCAACAGACTGTGCTGCATGAGCAGAAATTCCCTTCAACTTTGATCCTCCATATTAGGAAGATCAAAGCTATTCTCATTGGAAACCACTACAAGCTCCATTCCCTAACTACTGATTCTATTCCTCTCCCTAGCAACCGTTTAAGCTGACTAAATTGCCTGAAACATTAATGTCAATATTTGACCAAGATATGAACTTCCAAATACAAAATGCATCACCACTAAAACAGCCTATTTTGTTCTCCATAACATTGTCCAACTCCATCCCATCTTAGCTCATCCAATAAAGAAAGGATGGTGTGCGTGTGTGCGACATGCTATGTGTGGAGCCCTGAGGTTTTCTGATGTAGGGTGTGATGCACCAAAATAATTGTCACGACCTCCTGAGTTGCAGGCTAACTAAAATTCAGCAACCATAGTCCTCTGAAAAAAATGGGACAGCAAGAACCAAACTGATCAAAGTACAGTTTCCATACTGTAGGAATTCTATGATCTATGATCACCATGACTTCCGACATTGATTTGATCAATGAAACTTTGACCATCATAATCCACCAATTATAAAGAATTTTCTTTGAATCAATTCTGTAGCACTGAATTAATTATTACTGTACTGCATTTGGAACAATGTCATGTGCAGGAATGGCTGGAGGAGCAAAAATTGAAAAGTCTCAAAATTATTTAAGTACAGAAAGCTGGGAAGAGAGTGCATTCAAATTGAGGGCCCTTTTCAAAAGCTTTTGAAGGAAGTGGAGCATATTTGAAGTCTTCTTCTAGATGGCCACAGAAAAAGATTAATAAGGTGGTGGAATATCTGCGACAATAGCCTGGGACTGTACAGAACTGCCACTTCTGTCTCTGCTGCAACAACCTGATCTTCCTGTACGCCCATCTGATCATCGGTGCTAACAGCTCTCATTCAATGTAAGTCAACATTCCAACTTTCGTACAGTGAACCAATGGGCCAACTCGTCAGCTGAAACCTTCATCCAGGCCTTTACGGTTCCTAGATTGACTTTTCAAAAGACTCCTAATCAGTTTCCTACATTCTATCCTCTTCAAACTTGAGATAATCCAAATGCTGTTGCTGGTGTCCTTACTCACATCACGTCATGTTTACTCATCCAACCTCTGTTCTTTGGCCTGCATTTGTTCCCAGTTCTGTAATGCCACAATTCTGAAGTTCAAATCCTTGTTTTCAAGTTCTTCTATAGGCTCACCCAACCTTATCTGTGCAATCTCCTCTGGCACTACAACATTCAAGATATCTGTGCTCAGCTAATTCTCATCTCAAGCATTCCCATTATAATTGCTTATCCTTAGTGGCTGTGCTTTCAGTTTTCTAGGCAGAAAGCGCTGCAATTCTCTCCATCTCCACATCTCTACCCTAGTTTTCTCCTTTAAGAGACACCTTAAAATCCACCTCTTTAGCCAAGTTTTTGGTAATTTAATCTAATAATTTCCTTATGTAGCTATGTCAAATTTCGTTTTGTATTTTTCCTGTGAAGCATCATGGGATATTTTCTTTATTATTTTAATGGTGCTATGTAAATGAAAGTTGCTGTTCACATTTTACTGCATGGGTGATGTTTACAGGGCTCTTGCATTAAAAATTTTTGTGCTATGAAGAGGGGCGCAGAGGATCTTCATTAACTGTCAGAGAATGATTAGTTTAACCCTCCCTGTTGAAATGTTATAGTCAAACAAATATTACAAGGCAGTTAAAATATAAAAAATAACTCCAAGATTCTCAAGAGTCACACATGCCATTTTTGGTCAGTTTTCTCTCCCAACCTCCTCTCTTGAAAGCCACTAATTATTTCCAATGCCAACGCCTCTGGGTATTTTGGCCAACAGATGCTAAGGTTTGCAGAGGATTACTGTCAGGCTCGATTGTGCCCTCAACTAACAGACTTACCTTCAAGAGTTGAATGCCTGGCTTTGTAACCTTTCCTGAGATTTGGATACATAGCGTAATTGCAGCACCTGTATCCCAACCCTGGCAAGATCGGCAAGTTCAGCATAGACTGGAATTTGAGGCCAAAATCTTCTGGCTTGTATGTCTTGGCAATACATGGCTTTGTGAACTGAGCCATTGGGGAATGTGTGCAGGCTTCTTCCAAATCTTTTCTCAATTAAGATTTATAACAACTTGTTAATAAAACAATCTAATAACTATTCAAAATAACTACCATCATTATGCTCTTTTTTGGTAACAATTTAAGTAATTTCCAGTTTGCTTTAAAGAATTAATCAGAGCAGGATTATTTGTTTTCATGAAAGAATTACCAACTTCAAGAAACAAAAGAATAGCCACAAAGGGACAATGAAGAGCCATGAAGAACAAAGATTTTTCAATCTAAAGGAACAGGACAAGTATTATGTTTACATATTTAAATACGAGTAAAGTGCATTCCAGATCCAAGAAATTTGTTTGCCTCATTGTGGAAGAGGTGGCAGTCACATTATGTAACTATTCAGCTTCTGAAAGGATGCAAAAAAACTGAGTACGTGTACAGCACAAAGACGTTTCCAACATTATTATTAGAAAAGAAAAAGCAATGCCACTATGTTTTCCCTTGATTTGGAGAAGTATTCGTTGTATTTTAATTACAAGTGTGCACTAGAGTATCCACTATTTAGATCAGATAAAATGAAGCAAAACATTTGTGGGCCTGTGCAATAGAGAAACAGGATTAATTACCATGGCAACATCATGCTTTCTACTCTCACATCTTCACTGGTTGATCACAGGTAAGCTTTGGAACACAAAAGCTCATGTTTGTCCTTCCCATCTTATCCCACGAAGCTTTAGTGCTTAAATTAATTATATTTTCCCCACAAGATGTATTGCATTATCTTTTGAAGTCTGTTAACCTTTATTATTAAAGTCAAATATTTATTTATTTGGGATGATTAAATTGTTTGTAGTGTATGGGGACAATACTCATGTTTTGATTGCTTGCTACTATTTCAATCAAACGATAGAGGAAACGAGCAATTACCTAAAATTGTCAGCACTGCATCTTTCAATTCGAACATGTCTGTCAAAGTGCTTTGTGATTCATCAATGAACCATGATTGTACTTTACTGTGTCTTGTCTTATATGTATATGAGACTACTCCAAATGGTTTTGTTCAGAAGAAAAATGGGCTGACCTGTGGTGCCATTCTAACTGGTTCACTCTGACCAAGTCTTTTGCAAACATATTCAAACTCACTGCTCTGACCCAAAGGGCTCAAGCTTTCAAAGCTTTGTGTGCAATTCTCTTCAATGTGAATAAAATTTGAGCAAACCTCCCAATAAGTGGGAGCATTGGATCAACACACCGAAAGGCTACAGAAAACAGCAAACTCAGTAATTAAAAAGACTGAGAAATACAAAGACCATATACTTACCTGAAGAAGAACATGTACAGGGCAGCTGTGAAGCAAAACAACAGGACCTGTGCAAAACATAAAGGTAAGAGAAAAGTTATGCTAAGTGTAAAGATATGTCAACCACATTCTCTATCCTCTCAAAGTACAATGAAATGAAAATCCAGTGGGCAATGAAAATCTTAAAGTTATAGTTCAAAAGAAAGCACATCTAGTTGAAAATTCTAGTATCTGTCCTTTCTTCTGTGATAAACATCAGTGCAGGATTTCTGAGAAGTTAACTTGAACATAGATTTATTGATCAAAATAACTCCTATTTGAATGCTTTATTTTAAAATACCCATTCATGTTTCATGCAGACACAAAATACTTGGCAATGCTGATAATTCACTTTTGAAAAACAATTCATAACCAATATCCTTAAAGCTCAAAACAACCAATGCATACCATTCACTCAATGATCAGATAAATAGTTTATTTGAGGATTTAATTTTGATAACCTTATGACTCAAATATTTTCATGGTGACTTAACTATATTTAAAAGTTTTACAACAATCAGTAGGTAACACAGGATTCAAACTAAGTGCGAAAATAATTTTTATGGCCAATATCTTGTTGTTTGGTTATTTCTATAAATAAACTTCACATTTTCTCATGACTCAGACTTAAAAGAGATGGCCTTGTACTGTATTGAGCAAATCATGCTAGGAAGAAGCCAGTTTCAAGCTTGGGATCTTTGGAATCTTCTTGCTGGAGGTGAGATTGGAGGTGGGAAGGACATCTAATTAGGTGGGGTGGTGTTGTGCCTGAACATCACAGCCTTCCCATTTCAATCAAATTAAGTTCTCAGTCAGAAGGCTCATAGTTGACCTACCACCCTCACCACTAATTAAGACTCTTAAGTAGCCAATTAGGGACCATTTAAAACCTCATGCCACCATTTTTGGGATTAATTCAGCCGCATGACAGGTCAAACTGTGGGTCATTTCTCACCTCAACGGGTTGGCCAGGTATTGTCTTTTGAAGAAAGCTATCAGTAGGACCTAGACACCAGAAAGTGAGTGCCCACACTGAGCAAAAACCACACCCCACCTTTTGCTTCATCAGCAACACCTCCACAGTTCTTGACTATGGCCCTCATCTCCCATGATCCTCATACTCCAGCAGATGTTATTCTAACAACAGCACAGCCCCCTCATTGACAGAGCTGGATGCAAGAGATACTGGCCACCAACTGCTACATGGTGCTTTGGTCAGATTTTTCCTTGGAGTCTTGATTCCATGGAAGGACCTGTCAGTGGCCTTGCCTGATTGGGAAGGCTTGATTGGTGTGAGGATAGCAGGCCTTCCCGAAAATAGACACCACAGATCTCACTCAGCTCTCCAGCCAGCAGGCAATGAATGCCTCAGATAGCTTATGCTCCTGGTCTTTTCTAAATTAGATGATCAGAGACTATTGGTTTCAGCAATCACTCCATTATACAGAGAAACCACTAAAAGAAGTTAAATGTCTACTTCAGATATGTAAACATCTGTAAGGACTCCTTTTGGGTTATTCTACAGCATTCACCAATTGCTGACAGGGAGAGTTTATTTGTCCCCTCCTCATTTCGAGTGCGAGTAGCTCAGCATGCTCAGGGAAGAAATTAAAAAGTACGTGAAGCTGATGGGAAGGAAAAGTAAAGCAAATCTCACGAGATTAAATTCTTCTCAAAGTAAGCAATATAGGTGGACCATATCCAAAATATATCACCAAATTAGCTGAGAGTTTTCCTTCTAGTGTAAAATAAAGTAAGGTAGCTCCAGGTAGTGTTAATTTAATCAATGTGCTTCTGCATTGGATTGTAAACTGAAACAACAGATCGGAAACTCACAAGATTGACAGTACATGTTCCACTGTTGATATGTCGGTAATGACAGACAAGGCCTTAACCTATACCTGTGCATATCCATGTGGGTACAAACAATCCTGTAGCTCTATTCAAAAGAAGAATGGGGGAGTTCTCTTGGTGTGCTAGCAAAACACTAATTTGTTAAGAAATATCCCTTATGCAGCAAGACCAGGACAAATCCAGGCTTGGGTTGAAAGTAACATTCATGCCAAACACATGGCAGGCAATGATCATCTCAATCTAGCCATCTGCCCATGGCATTCAATGGTATGATCACGGCCTTGAAAGAAGCATATTACGCAGATTCCTGGGATGGCTAAAAAGGTTAGGCTCTTGTTCCTCAGACTTTAGAAGAACGAGGGTGATTTTATTTAAAAATGCAAAATTCTGAGTGAGCTTTGCAGATACAGTAAATTCTCTGTATCTGTGAAATCACAAATCGTGAATTCACCTATCCTTGCCAGAAAATAAGTAACAACAAAAATGAACATCCCCAGGCAAAACTCATGTAATCAGTGATTTTTTTTTTAACCATTTTAACCCAATTTTAATGAGCTCCCCCATCATTCATGGAGCAATGACTGTAGATTTTGAGATGATGTTTCCACTGGTGGAAGAACCTCAAACTGAGGGACACTACTTTGTTTCTCCCAGAGGGTACTGAATGTCTACTCCAGACAGCTGTGAAGGTCAGATTACTAAAAGTATTTAAAGAGGAAGTTGACAGATTTTGAAATATTAGAGAGTTGAGGGTTAAGAGCAGCTGGCACTCTTCATAAAGTAGTTGAGGCCTGGGCAGATTGGCTATGATCTTACTGAAAAGCAGACAGGTTTGAGGAACTGAATGGCCTACTCTTGCTCCTATTTCTTATTAGTACCATTGAATCACCCACTAGTAATATCCTGAGGGTGACCATTGATTAGAAACTAAACTGGATAGATAGATGAGTGCAGTTTCAACACTACCCAAGAAGCTTGACACCATCCAGTAAAATGCAGCCCACTTGACTAGCAACCCATCAACCACCTCCAACATTCACTCTGTTCACCACCACACACAGTGGCAGCAGTGTTCACCAAATACAAATATATTGTAGTAATTCACCAAGATTCCTTCAACAATGCCTTCCAAACCTTCTAATGTCTTGAAGGATAAGGGTGGCAGATGCATGGGGACACCATCATCTGCAATTCCCTCTCCAAGTCACACAACATCCTAAGCTGGATCAATCAAGCCTATAATGATCTACTCCTCTGGCACTAGATCAAAATCCTGGAACTGCCTTCCTAACAGTACTGTGGATATTCCTACATTCCAAAGACTACAGAAGTTTAAGGCAGCTCACCACTACTTTCTATAGGACAATCAGGGATGGGCAATAAATGTTGGCATAACCAGAGATGTCCACATACCATGCATGAAGGAAACAAAACAAGTTATTGTACTGAAAAATGTACTTTATTCATTGACGCACTTTGAAACATCATGAAAGACACGGTGTGAAGCAAATTTTTTTTTTATTTATTACTGGAGAAATTGTAATGGAATGGGACCAAAGAGATGGTTCTTTCAGAGAACCAGCGCAGGCGCAACAAGCTCAACAAAAGTATCTATAGACGCCTATTTATCTCTAAGAATAATTGCATCAAAGTCAAATGACAATCCCTGTAATATGTACTGTATTCCCAGTTAACATAACTAGGGAAATATTTCTTCAAAAACTTTTTTAGCTAATTTAAAGTAGGTAACTCATAGTTTAAATTGGACTTAGAAATAATTGCATGCAAAACCGCTTCAGATGAGAAACAGATCATTCTTACCTTTGGTAAAGCCTTTCTTCTTTCAACTGTCTACTTATGGTCATTTACATATAATATGATTTTACTCCATTATGAACCCTAAACAGTTGGAGGTAGATCTTAAAGAACATGATGGTAACCGGACATGATGAAACATGAATCTTAACAGTTCTGTGTAGTAAAGGCATTTAACCAATAATTAGCAGCTCTTGCTAAATGCATTTCAGAATCACTCAGTCAACAGTGGCTGATGTTGTGGATTTAGTTTCTGAGCACATCAGAAATTTAATTTTGCCAAGCAGCAGAATTAAATGGACGTTGTTAGACATCCATGATTGCTAAAGGATTAGTTTTAACTTTTGTTCCATGGAAAATTGTTGCAATTCCACAAGTCTCTTATTTTGTTAATGTCAAAATAGTAAGCTCTTCTAATACTGACATGGTGACACAATTATCATCACATCAGGAATTTTAAGTCTCACTATCACACTAGTCCTGAAACTAGATACCATTATTGCAGGTTAAAGCTCCATATCAAACAAAGTCCCAACTTTCATTAATCTGAAGATGTAAAACATTCCAAAGATCCGCACATGAAGAAAAATATTTCAGAACATTTTAAAGAACAGAAAGCAGGTGGGCATCATACTAGCTTACAGAAAAAAAAGGCAACACTGAAGAGAATTTTTTTTTGACAGTGAATGGAAAAGGTGAAGGATTTTGGAAAGTCCTGTAGAGGGTAGTGTGTAGTGCCCAAGAAAGTGGAAGGGCTAGTGAATATAAAATAATCCAGTATTAGAGCAGCAAACAGAGCATGCAGGGAAAACAGTAGGACCGAACTCGAGATAGTGAGAATCTGCAGAATTTTGACAAAAAAAAATCAGCATTGTTAAAAATCAGAGTGCTAGGAAATGCTAAGTAGAATAGTGTGATTGAAGAGTTGGACTTTGGGAAGGAGCAGCGTTTAAAAAAAACTATGATTGCAAGTTCCTTCTTTCTTTCCTTTTTCCTGCCTGTATGGAAAGATTAGAAATGCTGAGGGCTTAGGGCACAGAGAGTTTAAAGGACATTAATTGAGGTGCTGAAAACTATGAGAGGTTTAGTTACAGTAAATAGGAACAAAGTGTTTCCACTGGCAGCAGGATCAGTAATCAGTAGATATTACTGTAAAAAAATCTACCAGAGGACAGTTGATGTTTTAAAGTTTTACATAGCAAATTGTTAAAACCTGAATTACTCAAAATGGAATAGAAGCAGGTAAAATTGTAACTTTCACAAAGAAATTGAAATATACTTAATGAGGAGAAAAATGGAGAAAGAACAGAACTAATTGGAAACAAAGTTTTTCAACAAGCCAGCTGAAAAATAATTTAGC